AGAAAGAAAGAAAGAAAGAAAGAAAGAAAGAAAGAAAGAAAGAAAGAAAGAAAGAAAGAAAGAAAGAAAGAAGTTTGAGGAACTTTATAAAGGAGACTATCGTTAATTAATACCATTGAAGAACTGACATTTATATATTTATATAAACCAAAGTTTTATACAATTGAGCCTTATAATATTTGCATAAAGCATCCCATTAAGCATTCCTGAGAAGCTACATCTTAATATAGCAAGATAATTGTAACAGTAAAAAATGTGGAGATAGTGTTTGAATTTGCAAAATTTTCAAACTTTTAACATGTTTCTATATTTAATGGTCAAGATTGCATATTATCAAATTCTAAAATATTTTTATTTCTTCAAAATTAAATATATGCAAGAAAAAATTACACAGTTTAGAACAAACTCCAGTGCACTATTATGGAATGCAAAATGAGAATGCTTTTCAGAATTAACATGTAGCAAACAGCTATAACCTATTTGGTTTTTCAAAAGAAAAAAGATGCGAAAACGTATCTGTTGCAGAAATGTACAAAAAAGTTATACTGAATGACCTCAAAACAAGGAGGTTAGGGTTAGGGTTGATAAGTGGGCTAATACAGTTTGTTTTATGATCCCTGGAGAGGCATCTCTGTTTTATTAGAAAATTGAAGTTCTCCGCCATTTCAGTCAGCAACTGATGGATACTAGCTATCATTTTATTTGGTTGGTTTTCCAGTGCTCACCCAGGTTCATCCAAAACAAGCAAATATATAAGCAAAGGAAAGAAATGAATTTGTGGTCTCTTGTGGAGGACACATTTAGCTGGAATTCTAATCTTTTCAAAACAGCAATATGTGAGGTTCTCAATAACTGTATTTTTTCTTTCCAAATAAAAAAACCAAACTCACTTCAAAATACCAGTATAAATTACAGCAGAATCTTCATTATTTCTTATACATATGGAAGTCATCTTCCTCTAATCAGGGGCTAATTCTTAAATACATTTTGTTGTGTATTCTCTGATCCATAAAGGAATAAAAAAAGGTGACGAACACCAGTTTTCCTAAAAAGTAAACCTATAGTAAGTAGTTCTCAAAATACCCATCTATCCTGGTAAATCTTCTAAATAAGTTTAGTAGAACAGAATTGGAAAACAGACTACAGATGCATTGCTAACAAGGTGGTGTTTCCTTTACTGAAGCCAGGCATTTAATTCAAAAGAAATAAGAACTTTCTCATAAGTTTAGGGAAGTTTCCCCAACTTTCTAATATTGTGACCAAGAATCTACAGGTATATATATTAAATATTTCTCTATATCCAGGATCTTAACTTTTCTATCTGCCTACAATCCTATTGGGCTACTATAAATGCCACTTTGCAGGTTTTGCAGAAAAATCAGGCACAAGATCTGCTCACACAGACTTTGTCTCCCAATCAAGAAAAGTGCTAAGATGATACTATCAATTTATGAGATTTAGGAAAGTAATTTATGACATTCTGTGAGATACTGATATTCAAGGGAGCCTTCAGATTTAATTATTGTCTAAACATTTTAAGACAATGAATCTCCACTAGGAAAGAAATTAAATATTGCTCTGATTTTCCTAACAATATCTCTTCTGTAAAGAAAATAAATCCATGAAGATAATTCTCAGAATGTAATTATAGCAAACATAGTATTCTATCTTGGCCATCCCTTTCAGAGAAAATAACAATATTAAATTATTGCACCTTTTTGTCAAATAAATTAATATCTTTCTTTATTATTTTAAGGTACCCAAAGAACTAATTTTGTTTGAAGTTTCAACTGGGTAAACAAAGCTTGCATATTCTGCCTGTTATTTTGGAATAACAAAATAATACTGTGC